CTCGCGAACCTGATGTCCGCCTCAACAGTACAACTATTTTGCCCAGCTCTCGGCGGTTTGGCACCTACGGTCTCTTTGCCCCTTTCGTGCCTTGCATCCCAGGTCTCAAACATGCGCCGTCTACTTTCCATTTTCTGGCGCAGTAGCTGAACATGATCCTGGTACGACTGCTTGTTCGGGCCACGGTCGAACGCGCTACTGGGTGTTCTAGCGACTACGCTTAGACCCGACTGCGTGGCACACAGTCCCAAGCGCTCTTTTTCCTTCTGAATTCTAAGCCATGAATTTTCTCGCTCCTGTTCCATCAAAGATTCCAGATGTTGCCTGTACCTAATGCGTTCGGCATCGCGCTCCTCTTTAAGTCTATTTCGTTCTTTTTCGACGAAATTATATAACTCTTTGCCTACAAAGCCAAAGGCTTTGCCCTGTTCAATAAGCCTGTCAAACACCGTGTCGTCCATTGCTATACACAGTTGTCAACCAACAAAGCAATAACAGACCGGCTACACACTGAACGCTCAGAGTTACGTCAGTCTCCCAGACATCACCACGTGGTCAGCCAGTCCTGTCGCGCGGACGCCAGATAATGTCACACACTTCGGGTGAGGCCCCGCCGATCCAACACCGACGTGCGGCAGACTCGCAGGCTTCCACTTTACGCTTCGGCCTGCGACGCCTGAAAGGCCTCGAAGTGGCACATTTCAAATTTATTTGCGGGTTGGTCGACCCGTGCGGGGTTGCACGTGTGGTGATGTGTGGGCCTGACCGACGCACTCATAGAGCCGACACAGAGTTTGATTACACATAAACAAGCATTTAATTAAAACAGGGGCAAAGGCAGGGGATTACAAAAATAACAAAGGAGGAAACTGATACGCGCGATGGAAAGAACAGCTAAATAACAAAATATGCTCTAAAAGAACACTACAATAGGTACAAGCACAGACCAATACGCGGAATGTTAATAAAATAACGACAAAATGGAAATCAGAAAAGAGGGTTACAAGGAAATAATTACAGAATGATCATTGGTCGCGCTTTTGAATTTCAAAGTGCGTCGCAGCGCACAAAACTACAAATAATAAAAAGGCTGGTTAAAACAATTTAACAGTTTAAAAAAAGTCACAATAAAAAGTTCCATACGGACCAGGCCAGCTCTTGGTGCACGTAGGGGAGTTGACGGGTGCCGCTGAAGATCTCGCCGCTTTGGTAGACGACGAGGGTGCCCGGAATTGCAGCCGTCTCAATACGTTGCACGGGTCACTCCATGCTCGCCGCCTACGCGAGACTCGCGACACCGACGACCGCACTTGTTGCTGGCTGTACGTCAACTGCTCTTCCGATGCAGTTCAAACCTCCTCAGGGGCGTACACGTGCTCCCGTCTCATCTGGGAGTAATTTTCCTTGTTTAGATCGCCGGTGCCCCTTCCGGTACCGGTGCAGGGAAGACGAGCCGGCGCCACGCTGGGTCGTTATAGTCGCCGGATGTCGTCCCCCAACACAAAAGCGCCCTTCCTTGGTAGGTGTGGCCCGCGGATGCTCCGAAAATTGGAGTCGTTTGTGACACTGATCCTCACCAGCAGCTTTGCCCCTTTGCATGCTCTCCAAAGCTTTTCTGACTTCTTCTATCATTACTGGTGGGGTGTAATCTGGGTTACTGCTAGTTCTTATAGTATTAAGGTCGTGGTTGTCTCGGCTACTGTACAGATCCCTGTAAAACTCCTCCGCTATCTCAACTATCCTATCCATATTGGTAGTTATTTTGCCTTCTTTGTCCCTTAGTGCATACATCCGACTTTTGCCTATCCCAAGTTTCCTCTTCAATGCTTTGACACTTCCTCCGTTTTTCAGAGCGTGTTCAATTCTCTCCATGTTATACCTTCTTACATCGCATACTTTACGTCTATTAATCAACTTCGAAAGCTCTGCCAGTTCTATTTTGTCTGTTGTACTTGACACTTTCATAATTTGACGCTTCTTAATTAGGTTCTTCGTTTCCTGTGAAAGCTTGCCAGTGTCCTGTCTAACTACCCTGCCTCCAACGTCCACTGCACACTCCATAATGATACTCGTCAGATTATCATTCATTGTATCTACGCTAAGGTTGGTTTCCTCACTGAGAGCCGAGTACCTGTTCTGCAGTGACACTCTGAATTCCTGTACTTTCCCTCTCAGTGCTCGCTGATTGATTGGCTTCTTGCGTATCAAGTTCTGTCGTTCCTTCTTCAAGTCTAGGCGAATTCGAGACCGTACCATTCTATGGTCACTGCATCGTACCTTGCCAATCACTTCCACATCCTGCACGATTCCAGGGTGTGCACTCATTATAAAGTCTATTTCGTTCTTATTTTCGCCATTAGGGCTCCTCCATGTCCACTTGCGGTTTTCTCGTTTTCGGTAGAAGGTATTCAAAATCCGTAAATTATTGCGTTCTGCGAATTCTACTAGTAGCTCTCCTCTGGCGTTTCTAGTACCGATGCCATAATCTCCTACTGCCTGGTCTCCAGCCTGCTTCTTCCCTACCTTTGCATTAAAGTCGCCCATCACTATAGTATACTGTGTTTTTACCTTACTCATTGCCGATTCCACGTCTTCATAGAAGCTTTCAACTGAAGCGTCATCATGGCTGGATGTAGGCGCGTAAGCCTGTACTACCTTCATCTTGTATCTTTTATTCAGTTTAATTACGATACCTACCACCCTTTCATTAATGCTATAGTATTCCTCTATGTTGCCAGCTATGTTTCTGTGAACGAGGAACCCCACTCCCAGTTCTCTTCTGTCTGCCAAGCCCCTGTAGCAAAGGACGTGCCCATTCTGTAGCACCGTATAGGCCTCATCTGTCCTCCTAACCTCACTGAGCCCTATTATATCCCATTTAACACCCTCTAGCTCCTCGAATAGTACAGCTAGACTTCCCTCACTAGATAAGGTTCTAGCGTTAAACGTTGCCAAGTTCAGGTTCCAATGGCGGCCTGTCCGGATCCAGAGATTCTTAGCACCCTCTGCTGCGTTGCAGATCTGACCGCCGCCGTGGTCAGTTGCTTCGCAGCTGCTGGGGACTGAGGGCCGTGAGTTATTTGACGTAACCATGTGGGAGGTAGTGGCCAGATACTGCACCAGGGTGGCCAATCCTTCTCTGGTGAGGGAGTGCGTTCTCGGCGGTGTTTGCCGGTGAGGCCGCACCCCAGGCCTCTTAATGCAGTTCCATCAACACGCGGATTTTTTTTTTAATCCGGTTGGGAACTGCGCGGTACCGGGATTTGAACCACGGACCTCTTGCATGCGAGGCGGATGCTCTAACCACTACGCCATCGCCGCTCCTCGGAGGGCAGATAGCAAACAGCAAATTTCTCGGCGAGAGGTGAAGGAGTGTTGTGTGATGTACGGTTGTACCACAGGTGATCTGTTCATGTACGGCGAAAACCTGGTGCCTGTTAGGTGACGCCGTATTTGTATGGCGTGACCACTAAAAGGGGTATTTGAGGCCCATCTATTAGAAAGCGTTTGGGCATAATCAAAAACTATCAGCAACAGCATCGACAACAGCAGTTGTTGGCCATCAGCAACAGCATCAACAACAGCAGTTGTTGGTGTCGATGCTAAGCAATGGTGTGTGCAGTTGCGTAGGCGCACATATTGCCTTCAGTATGCGCAGTAAATACAACGCTATTTAGCAAAAAGCACGGACAGACGGACTGAAGCACGGACGGACAGACACGGGCACAGCTGGATGGAAGAACCTGTGCATATCAAGAAAAAAGAAACAGAAAGCACCGACGTCGCTCCACGGTAGAACATCTGCTTACCACAAGGCCTGGGTGCGATTCTGGCACAGACCCGCTGTTCTAATTATATGCATTCATCCCACTTTTTCGCTCACGCACCATTCGCACAAACAATGGCGTCGACACCAGAGTTTAAGTGAAACTAGCTTCTTGAAGGAGTGCTGACAATATTTTGAGGCACCCCAAAAGCAACATATTCGGTTTCTATTGTGTACAACATCAACTCTCTCCATAAAGCGGAGCCAGACAACTTGTACGAGAATTTTACTTTGGTTATAAAGTTCGCACCCGAGCACCTTTAAGCCAGCCCCACCGCAATCTACGTAACTAAAAACCAACACAGTTCGCTGGGTTCGCAAAATTTGCGTCCTGCAGTTCAAAATTCACTCATCGTCGTTTACGGGGATCACGGGCGACTGACAGAAAAACAGGCAGCGGTTGCTGGTGTGCCGTGAGTTACCTTCTATCCGTGACGTCAGACCTCTGTTGGCACGTCACTGCGAAGCCACCCTTGCGATACCGAAACCTGAAATCTTGTTTTCAGGCAGCGGTATTAAAGGTATGTTTAATGCATTCCCAAGCACCACGATACTCTTTAGGCTTCTCAGCGCCCATGTTTTTCCTTAAAGGGAAAATATTTAAAATTCGTGGCAGTACTAAGTGCAAAACTGGTGAGGTGTGTCGCTTGTTTTTTCTGCTTGCGCTCGAGCGTGCAATGACGCCTGCTGTAGAGAACGAGTAAAGGCGCTGAAGTGAATCTTGGGTGCTTTTCCGGACACTGTGTAATTTCATATTGTTTCACAGACCGATTCAATCAATCATCAAAAGTATATTTCAACAGAAAACTCTGGATGGTCTCCATGGTTATAATTTTCGCTAAGCAGTCAGACTGGGTCTCTGAAAAACTCTTACATTGGCAGAATTACACGTTCCCCGCGTGAATATGGCGATCTGACCAAAGCAAGAACATAACGTGAGTAATGCTATACTGTATATTAATTATACGCTAGATTGCAAATATTGTTACAAATGTTCACAACACGGCGGCATTAAATAGAGCAGAAAATAGCACCGCCAGTCACACTAAAAAGGGTGCGCGTGAAATGGAACCACGTTGCTCCCTTATAATCATCATCTAACTGCTATGTCCTTGCAGCTCTTACCACACGCTGCAGCATACGCTACAGTATACGAACAATAAAAACAGATAACTCAATACAATGAACTTTTTAATCACAAAATAACGACAAATGTATTTTGTACAACGACTGAATACAAACAGTACATCACAGTACAAGCAATAGACAAAACTGGCGACCAAAGGCTTAATGGCTCAGCAAGCAAGAATAAAAAAAGCAGGGGATAATCTCACAATACAACATAATCTCAGCGCTTTGCTGGTATGGTGGAGTGTGGTTGGTATACTAACTGATTTATGACAAAGCAAACAAAAACTAGTACTTTCATAGAACGTTACCTACTCAAACTGCACATTGACGAATAGTGTGTCCTTTACAATGTATCCACGAAATTCAATATCATTCCATGTTATCGTCTCCGTCCAGCAGCCGTCGTTAAGCAGACCGGGACGCGGTTTCTTTGCGGCTTTATATCCTTCAATGCGCAACGGAAGCCTAATGTCATTTGTCTCATCTCTGGGGTGCGTGATGACCAACGTTACTTTCTTTGAGCATGGCCACTCAACGTATTCATCCCATTCCCCAGACAGGAGGCATATGGCGAACCTCATTCTCACCTCTTCTTTGCCCGCATCCACCACCATCAAAAACTGGTAATCAGTACGGAAGGTGTAGCCGCTGAGCGTGTAAGTACGGCCCGCTACCGCGTGTGCTTTCTTACTCTGCGTGAGCGAATCCCGTGAATTGTAGACATACTCGAACTTGCAAGTCGCGATGCACGCGCCAGGCTTCGACGCAGCGCGTAAGGGGCCCGGTTCAGTTGGCTTCGATGACTGATAGCGTTCTCGGTGGGCGTCAGTGACTGTTTCCTGCGCCACGGACAGTGAACGATGAAGATTGGCCAGTCTCTCGACTAATCCGTTCAATCCGTTCAAAAGTTCGTCTTCGCTATCACGCACCTTCAACGCCTTCTGTCGCAGACTCTCGAGGTCTTCCTTGATACCTCGGATTTCTTCGACGGCCTCTCGCACTCGCGCGTCAGTCACCGAATGCAGCGCAGAGCTTGTTTCACGGCATTTTCTGTGGTGTTCTGCGGCTGCTTCACGTGGGACCGGTCGGTTGCACTTGGAACAGTGCATGTCGCTGCTACGGCAGCTGGCCAGGTGGAGTTTCAGCTCCGAGAGTTTGCCGGCGAAGTTGGACGAACACATCCTTCCGTCAACCACGCACACAACGCGCCGCCTTTCCAAGTAACAGGCGTCGGTTTCAAACGGTATAAGCTTCTTTTCCGTGACGGCTGTTCCATCAAGGGGACATTGTGTAGCGTTGCACACCTCAACTTTGCATCGTAGGCACGAAATGTGAGCGCAGGGCAAATGTACCGCGTTAAATGGTATCCGACCACAGATGCTGCAGACGCGGTCGGCTGGCATGGGCTCTGCGAAGGCGACGCGCCGCTGCTCGAAGAAATCGCCGAAACCTGTCAGCGGGTACGTCCAGAATGCCATGGCGGTGCAGCACAAAGCGAAGTAATACTCTACGGTTCGAAGGGCCAGAAAGATTGCCAGGTGACCCAAGACGGCATCAGAACGTTGACGACCGGCTTTTGCTTCGCATGGAGGAATGCTGCTTCACACGTAGAGAGCCGTATATGTAGAAAGTCTGGAGAATGGGCGGGACAGTGACGTTGTGGCGCGACGGTGACCGCCACGCCTCCGCGCCAGCGGCGCTCGCCCTATCTATGCTTTCGGCGCGACGGCCGCCCAGCGGCGGCAATGTGCGCGCTGTTAACTTGTTAAATCAGCGGTGCAAAATGAATCATTAAAGCGAAATAGTGCAAGAACGTTGCTATACAAGCACTGTAAAACCTATTCGTCATTTTGATAGCCATTTCTTTATTATTTTTTACAAGCTGCCGGCGTCACATGGAGAAAACGGCAAAACCGTCGTCAATAGTAGTGAAGAGAGAGCAAAGAGGAGGCGAGCAAGAACCCACGGGCGCTTTGGTTTGTTTCCGTACAGGATACGTCACGGGACGTCACTCAAGACGTGTTTTGGTTGTCTCTCTCTCCCGCTACATAGCCACTGTACTCCCGCTTCTCCCCGAGCCGCTGTCACCGCCGCTGCTGCCGCTTTTTTTTTTTGTCTACATGTCTTTTAGTTGTATTACAGAAACCGCGTGCGCGTTGCGGTTGTGCTCACTTGATTGAATTAGTTTGCGTTTTTGGAGGCGACACATCGAAGAAACCGTGTTCCAGAAAGCACAGCCCCGAAGCTAATGCGCCTGCAAAAGGTGATTATTCTTACCATGCTTTCATTCTAGCAAAATTCTTTTCTGTGCTCGTGGCCGACATCGCAAACGCACGTCTCGGACCGACTCTGCTTTGACTCGTCGGATACTCGGTTGGAGGTTCTGCTTATGAGCACTTCGGGCGTCGTGACGAAGATGATCGCAGGACGACTCTTTGTACTCGCGACCACGCATTACGCACTTTGAAACATCGGGCACCACGGCCAGCGTGTCTGCTGCTCGCAGTCGTCACTGGGCCTAACTCCGCTCACGGCGCCGACGCGCAAGACGAACTTCGAACTTTGTGGGCAAAAACAACGCGTCAGTGGTCGCGCGGCAGTGTGCTTCTTCGCAAGCAACGAAGCGCATCGCCCGCCTGCTCTTTAGTGCAGCGGATGTTCTTTTTACGCACGCATCGGACTCTACGGCCAAGCTCGTCGCGCAGCGGGCGCGTCCCGCAGTGCGAGACCAAACACGTTGCGCGCCTATTTTTCGTCGCCGCACTTATGTTGGGCATCGTCACCGAATGCCGCTACCCAGCACATCGCGTGCCGACTTCGCGGCCAATCACTTCGAGGTTAAATAAAGCACTGGGTGCACAAGAGTGGAAGCGGGCTAGTTGGTGCGTAGTCATGTTTGCAAGATGTCTCAGCGCGCGAACAAAGGATCATTCCGGGTCATTGTAACAGAAAGGTGGACCTGGCAAAAGTCGGCAGCACTTTTCTTGCAGGAAAAGCTGAAAAAATATAACAATAGACGACCCTTTTTTGGTCAAGAACTCTGACGCTGTTATTGACATCATTGGGCGAACTAACACACGACTCCAGGCAATGTCTGTGGATATTCAGGACTTGTGTTACTCTTTGCCGCATGAACAACTACTTAAATGTGTAGAGGAATCCATAGACAGGTTAGAATCGTCAGCGTTCCAAACGCGTACTGGAATACATAACAGCAGCTTATTAGAAGTACTCAGTTTTTATTTTAAGGCCACTTTTGTATCATGGGAAAACTAAAACTACTTACAAAAAAGTGGAATATGTATTGGTTCATGTTTGGCACCCATTCTCAGTGACATACTTCTAGCACATCATGATCGTGTCTTGTCTAACAAGCTTGACGACTCTGTACTTTTTAAAGTTTGCCGATTTGTTGATGATTACTTAGTGTTGTTGAAATGCGATAGTCAAAATTTCCAGACCATTTCCTCTGACGCGTTGACTGTTTTCCGAGTGTCTGAAACCACTTGTTCTAACCTATGAATCACCCATTGATAACAACCTGAAGTTTCTAGATTTGAAGCTTTTGCTAGAATCCCGACAAGTTTGCTGGATGTATGAACCAAGAAGCGGCAAGCCACTTCTGCCTTTCAGCTCATCATCATCAGCCTGACTACGTCCACTGCAGGACAAAAGCCTCTCTCATGTTCTGCCAGTTAACCCAGTCCTGTGCTTGCTGCTGCCAATATATACCTGCAAACTCTTAATCTCATCTGCCCACCTAACCTTCTGTCTCCCCTTAACCCGCTTCCCTTCTCTGGGAATCCAGTTAGTTACCCTTAATGACCAGCGGTTATCCTGTCTACGCGCTACATGCCCGGCCCATGTCGATTTCCTCTTCTTTCTTTCAACTGTGATATCCTTAACCCCCGTTTGTCCCCTAATCCACTCTGCTCTCTTCTTGTCTCTTAAAGTTACCCCTACCATTTTTCTTTCCATTGCTCGCTGCGTCGTCCTCAATTTAAGCTGAACTCTCTTTGTAAGTCTCCAGGTTTCTGCTCTGTAGCTAAGTACCGGCAAGACACAGCTGTTATATACCTTCCTCTTTAGGGATAGTGGCAATCTACCTGTCATAATTTGAGTGCTTGCCGAATGTGCTCCACCCCACTCTTATTCTTCTACTTACTTCAATCTCGTGGTTCGGCTCTGCGGTTATTACCTGCCCTAAGTAGACATAGTCCTTGGCAACTTCAAGTGCACTATTACCTATCTCGAAGCGCTGCTCCTTTCCGAGGTTGTTGTTCATTACTTTCGTTTTCTGCAGATTAATTTTAAGACCCACCTTTCTGCTCTCCTTGTCTAACTCCGTAATCATGAGTTGCAATTCGTCCCCTGAGTTACTCAGAAAACATTAGAATTCAATCAACCAAAGGAACAAGCAGGATTTAGAACTGGCTACTCAACAATTGACCACATTCATATATACTATCAATCAGGTAATAGAGAAATGCTCAGAGTATAACCAACCACTATACATAGCCTTCATAGATTACGAGAAGGCGTTTGATTCTGTAGAAGAACGCCCCGCCACGGTGGTCTAGGGGCTAAGGTACTCGGCTGCTGACCCGCAGGTCGCGGGTTTGAATCCCGGCTGTGGCGGCTGCATTTCCGATGGAGGCGGAAATGTAGGCCCGTGTGCTCAGATATGGGTGCACGTTAAAGAACCCCAGGTGGTCGAAATTTCCGGAGCCCTCCACTACGGCGTCTCTCATAATCATATGGTGGTTTCGGGACGTTAAACCCCACATATCAATCAATTCAGTAGAAATATCAGCCGTCGTGCAGACACTGCGGAATCAGGGCGTAGATGAAGTATATATAAACATTCTGGAAGAAATCTACAGGGGATCATCTGCTACCATAGTGCATCATAAAGAAAGCAACAGCATACCAATCAAGAAGGGTGTAAGGCAGGGGGACACAATCTCCCCAATGCTATTTACCGCGTGCTTACAGAAGGTTTTCAGAAGCCTAGAATGGGAACAGTTAGAGATAAGAGTCAATGGAGAATACCTGAGTAACCCGCGCTTCGCCGATGACATTGCATCGCCTTTCAGCTCAGCTCACTCTAAATTGGTCAAGCGGGGCATTGCTGACCTCTCTGCCTTGCCAACGCCTTAAAGAAGTCCTACCCCCACATGGTACACCGCAGCTTTGCTCTGCAAGGGGAGCGGCTCACCAAAGCTGGTTACCCCGCGCATGTTCTCGTTTCGGTGGCGGAAAAGCTGGTCACTGTCGTGAAGCGAGGCGACAAACCGGATAAGCGAAACAGTGTCAGAAAGAGCCGGCCTGTCGTACTACCTTATGTGCACGACGTCTCACACAGGCTAAAAAAGATTGCTCAAGACGCCAACGTTCTTGTGGTTTTTTCTGCACCGGAAAAATTGCAGAGGCTTTGCAAACGAGTCAATACACCTCGTGCAAGTTGTGCCTCGTGCTCTATCGCGCACAGGACACGCTACGTCCCATGCGCAGTGGGAGTCGAATACTTGATTCCGCTGACGTGTGGGTGCATCTATGTCGGGCAAACCGGCAGATGCATAAATGACCGCCTCCGAGAACACCGAAACAATGTGCAGGGTGTGGTACAAGGGCATCTTGGCATTCATTGCCGAGATTGTGGGTGCACCCCTCTCTTTGATCAGTGCTCAATATTTGCAAGGCACAGGGACCAGCTTACCCGAGAAATTATCGAAGCCAAAAAAAATACACTTGCTAGGAGATAAATGCGTAAGCACATCATCGGTTGCTTTATCACAGGCTGAACGTGATTACCTGGCTGGGCTTTGAGGCAATAGAGGACCCGTCACACGTGTTTTGTTACTGATGTGTAGATTAGGCTTGCATTTTACCTTCATGCTCTGTTATCATCCTTTTTTAGCAGTATATATTCTTGCCACTCTGTGAAATAAAGTTAGTTGGAAGTCAGCGCTCTTTCTGTCTACCCTGTCCTTTTTCCTTTGTTGGCGCGCTGAAACATCTTGCAAATATCACTGGGTGCAATTTGGCAATTTAGGCACGCTTGGGGCCGTGCTTGGTATCACCCTAAGCTCTCATCAATCATGTGAAAAAATAAAAGCCTCGCAGATAACCGGGACCGGGTGAATGATGAGGCGCATCACAGGCGAAGTGAACTACAACTTACAAGCTGTGGATTGCTAATGGCAATCACATTGTTCCTTATGTCTTATGCTCCTTATGTGTTTATGTAAGTACAATTTTTCGTACTTACATAAACACTTAGTGTAAAGCACTTAGTGTGTAATTTTGTGCAAACTCAACATGTACGTAGTAAAGCTTTCATTAATCATCGTATTACATTTCGTTTTTCAGGTGCTGCAGTGCTCTTCATGGTGTGGTGGTGACCTAACGCTGCAACCGTATTTCAAATAAATATGCAAGTACATGTGCCAATTGCATAGCAGCATCTTTTGCAGAATACGCTGTAAGTGAGACACACTTAAGTGGACAATACTGACACAGACATGTAAATAAGACATGGCAACGAGCATATACTCTGAAAAACTG